GATGGGAAGTCCTTTTTAAACCAGGTGTCCTGATTAGTCTGCCTGCCGTAATTGATTCTAGTATGTTCTTAATTGGCTCCAGGTGTCTTAATTAGCTTGCCTGTCTTAATTGGTTCTAGCAGGTTCTTTATGGTTCTAGTGCAGCCCCTGCTCTGGTCACTCAGGGAACAGAAAACTGTTCATCCAGTGGCCAGTGTATTTGCCTTCTACCAGACTCCTGTACCCCACTGGTCTGGGTCTGTCACAGTGGTGATACCAGCAGCACCCACACCTCTGCAATCAGGGGCAGCAACCATCTCCAGGATGCAACCATTGTAGCCTATCTGTTGCCTTGTGCAGCAGGGGCATAGCAACCACTCTGGAATTTATGCAGGCAGTGAAGTCGGTTTTTTTCAACTTGCTTTTATGCACTTTTTGGAGGTGCAATGGGATGGAGAGAACCAGCTTTAAAAAAAAAAAAACAAAACTAAACTAAAAACACAGAAGAACCAACTGTTGGTCATTGCAAGGCATACGAACCCCTCTCCTGCAGGAAATTAAGGTGTAAATTATGGTGTGTGTTGCAACAGTCTGCCACTAACTGGCAGATAGTTATATGGCCAGTTATTACTGGACATAACTACCTCCAGTGGCAAGAGTTGAGTAAAATTTAGTGCTTTACAGAGCACAAATGTGGTCTGCAACTATATCAACTGGGAATTCCCAAAGGCATCTAAAGGAGGCCACTGTTATATTATGTCTAAATCTGTGCTTTCACAAAGTGGTCTCTTTTGATGGAAACATTAGAGAATATAGGCTGGTAGGAGTCCTTGAAGAGACGTGCGGTATGAATCAAATACTGTAACTTATTTGAAGCTTTTTAACAGATTTGTTTTTGGTGTGTTTTTTAAAGAAATAAACATAGAGTCCTGATTTAGTGCTGAGTGTTCTTCCCTCCTATCTCTTCCTTTGCGAAAGCTTAAACCCAGGCACCACCTCTCATTCTCTGCCTTCTTCTCAAATAAATCCATGTCATATCCTAAACTTCAGTGTAGATTTAGGGTGAACTTTTTTGGTGTCAGGGATAGGGAAGAAAAGTAGCTAAGAGAACGTTAGAAAGTTTAGTTGGGGCAGGGGAAAGCTGCACTCAGTCGCAACATCATTGGAAACACAGAGCTTTTGCTGGTGAAAACTTAAGACGACCCCATACATTTGACAGGCTTGCTGTCCAGCTGGTTTCTCACCAGCACAGGTCCATAATAATTAGTGAATGTTTGAGCTAGTGCTTCACAACAGTATGCAAACAGTGTGAATAATCAGTAATACAGGTAGACTAGCCAATATTAGCAGTCTCAAACAGAACCAAACCTTAACAGCAATTCTAGGCACAATGTTCTCCTTTAGGGCCTGATCCTACTATAGGATACTCACCTCAAACTCAGTGGAGGTTGATGGGAATCTGGGGTGCATGCTTCCTGGTGGCATTGATTCCTTAGGCCCTGGCTACATTAGAAGAAAATTGTAACCATGTTTAGGTGTGTAGCAAGATGCAGCTGTAATGGTATTCTGTAGTATAAAGTAGCTACCAGCTTTTAAATCAGATTTAGAGGATAGGACTTGACACAATTTAATTACCATATCTTGGCTAGCAAGTTCCTGCCATGTCTACTACTGGTGGAGAGATAGGGTGACCAAACAGCAAGTGTGAAAAATTGGGACGGGGTGAGAGGTAATAGAGCTTGTATAAGAGAGACCCAAAAATTGGGACTGTCTCTATAAAATCGGGACATCTGGTCACCCTAGGTTGAGGTGCAGCTGTGGAAAGATATAAAAAAGTCAAAGTGCATTAAGCAAACCTACCTTATCAGATTTTTTGGTAACAGTTTTCTGACAAAATATCCATCTCTGTGCTAGCTAGGGAGACTATGCTGAAACTGGTTGTAGTTCTCAGGGTCCTGCTCCAGAGGAGAGGGAAGCCTGCAGTTCTTAACATGAAATCATCACAGCAGCAAATGGATTGATCTTTAACTCATGCTGTAGGCCCAGCTCTCTTGTTTCCACTCCTCCCTTCCAGTTTGAGGGTGTGGCTAAGACATGTGACTGAATCAGATTGTTGCAGGTAGGGCTTCAGAGCCAAAGCAATGTTAAATGGTCTTCATCTAAACATACCTTTATAGTGGGATAGTTCATACTCTAACTCATATTTATTTCTGATGGGGAGCTGCAGCATTAATATACAACAGCAATCGAAGCAGAGTTATCTAGAAAGCCTAAAAAATATAAGGCAAATCAACGAAGTATGGTAAAAAGGAAACAAGAAGGGCATGGGGTCCCTCTCAAGGAGCTAAGAGTGGCTAAAATATACACACTACTGATAGAGTAGCAGTGTTGAATAGTGGAGAAGCTGAGCGGGGTGAGTGAAGTTCCTTATTCTAAGGACCATTCCTGTAGAAATGAGGTGAGACAATGGAGTGGATTAAGTCGTACTGGCACACAGATGCCCATTGGGATGAGGCTGAAGCAGAAGGTCTAGCATATAGCCCTGCTGTTCATATATACCTGTCCTGCACAATAATGTCATTGGGCTGTGTACAATTAAACCTATTAAGATCAGCAACAGCTTGGAACCACGGAAAGCTTTAGTAACCATATATTTCTTCAGTCCAGTCCTGACACAAATGCGTGGACAGACTGGGCATCTGGTATTATCATAGAGAATTCCATAACACTGAAATAAAGATCGTTGAAATAAGTCTGTTGTGTCAAATTGGTCTCTCTCTCAGCAAAACTGCAGAGGAGCATGTCTTGAAAGGTTAAATAGACATGGCTGAGTTGTATTGCAGGGGCTAATTTTCTATTTAATGCATTGCTGAGTGGAGGTGGCAGGGCCTCTGAAGTGAATTCGATACGACACAAGCTCCTGCCATGTTCAGCAGAGCCATTGTGCTTCCAAGCTCCTGAATACTGAGCAAACTCACTTGGGAGATGAAATGGGGAGGAGCAGGAGCTTCACATCTCTGAAAGCTAACTCTGCACTACTCATTGCTGATTCCTTAAAAGCACCCTGGGGAGAAGTGAGCTGTGTCTTCATTAAGAAACTGAGATGAAATCTTCCATCTTGTGTCTAGTAGCAAATTGTTCTCCTGCCATCAGCACTAGCAATAGTAGAAACACTAGTGTAAATCACTCACAAGTGTTCTTACCACCATATCCTCTAATTCTGCAGGGTTTAATAACACCAACGTTACAATGCTGGTGCCCAATCTACTCTCATGTTCCTGGCATTGCTAGCACATGTGAAGCTGCACCAAACCGCTGGTAGAGAAATTATGGGAGATTCTCTTATTTTCTCACTGTAGACAAGACCTCCGCATAATTATATTCTGCTGACTTTTTCCACTCTGAAGCCTGCTACCCTGTCTTTCTCTCCTGCCTCCCTGATGCTGGTACAAGCAAAAATGGTCATGCAGTGCTCCATGGACTGCTTGTATTGATTATACGTTATTGCCTAATAAGTGCGGTAAAGTGAAATGTGCATCTCACTAACTTTTACAGCCTGAAAACACTAAATTAAAAAGTTCCATTTAAACATGGAAGATGCCAGAAATTTTACTTCCCACAGAATTCCCAATGCTTCTCTAGGGCTGTACTGAGGTTTGTGACAAAAATGTGTGCTAGATAAAATGAAAGAATGCTACCAAGGTCTTGGTGGCTTTCTGAGTGCTGTTCTGGCTGCATTAGTCACTTCCCTTTGGACTGTATGGGTTAGTATCTGTCACTAAATAAGCTCTTCTGTTATTGATCAGAAACCAGTTTGATCAGTGATAACCCATTAACACTGCCTCATGCGGTTTATTGGGTAAATTTTGCCTAACGTGCTGTGGTATGAACAGAGAGATGTTACTGACTTTCTGTAATTTTCATGCTGCATATAACAGTTGTCCAGATTACACTGTAAAGGCTTTAAATGCTTATTGCTCAGTCTTTGGTCCTTATGGCTCTTCTATTTTGTATTGATTGTGATTAGGTATTTTGGTAACTAGGGATGTAAATACCATTTAAAAAGTTAACAGTTTAAATGATTAAAAAATACATTTTTTAAACAGTTAACTGATTAAGCGGCTGGGCCAATCCAGGCGAGGCTGGGCGGCGCAGGGCTGGCCGAGGCTGGGGGTTAATAGTTCAGGCAGGTTAACCAGTAAGACTCATGCTTACTGGTTAATGTTTTACATCCCTATTGGTAATCCGATGAAAATTGTTATTCTAAGAAACTACACCCAACAAAGTAAACAAGGAGGTGTTAGTTACTACTTCCTGTAACACAAGAACTAGGGGCCACCAAATGAAATTAGTAGGCAGCAGGTTTAAAAAAAAAAAAAAAAAAGGCATTTCTTCCCACAATGCACATTCAACCTGTGGAACCTTTGCCAGAGGATGTTGTGAAGGGCAAGACTATAACAGGGTTCAAAAAAGAACTAGATAATAACATGGAGGATCGGTCCATCAATGGCTATTAGCCAGGGTGGGCAGGGATGGTGCCCCTAGCCTTTGTTTGCCAGAAACTGGGAATGGGTGACAGGGGATGGATCACTTGATGATTACCTGTTCTGTTCATTCTCTCTGGGGCACCTGGCATTGGCCACTGTTGGAAGACAGGATGCTGGCCTAGGTGGACCTTTGGTCTGACCCAGGATGGCCGTTCGTATTGATTCACTGCTTGGCCTAAGGCAAAGTCACTTAACTTTTCAAAACCTCAGTTAATGTATGTATAAAATGGGCATAATAATATTTATCCTCACAGGGTGCTGTAGGCTTCATGAATGTTAAAAATGTGGTTTAGGATTCTGGGAGGAAAAGTGCTGTAGAGAGGTCTAAACTCTTACTGTATTAATTCATTAGTGCTACACAGATTGAGTACCTCTCTGCATGGACTTGCATGTTCCATCCAGTTGGTTTATGCTCAGTACATTGATCCTCTCTCTCTCTCTCTCTCTCTCCACCCCTCCCCCTCCCTTTTGCAGGTGTACTTTCCGATTCCCTAGCACAGTCATAAAGATCCAATTCACATCTTTATACCATAAAGAGGAAGTGAAGGAGGAAGCTTCATCACCTCCCCTTCGGCCGCTTTATCCTCAGATATCACCTCTGAAGATACACATTCCGGAGCCGGATCTCCGGAGCTTGGTCAGCCCCCTGCCCTCCCCCACTGGCACTATCAGGTAAGGTGCCTGTGATATGGAATGCAGAGAAGGTGCTGGTCTTCCCTCCATGTCATTGCCAGAGATTCCATCCACATTCTCCAAGCACCAACCTAGCATTGGTTACCCAATACAATGAAATGCCCCATTAAAAATAACTTGACTGTGTGATATTCCAGATCATGGAAGCCCTTTAAAGATTAATTGAAAAGTCCTGGGGGTGAGGGATAGAGATTTAAGATCTCAAATCATTAGTATAATAAATGCGTAGAACTAAAATTAAAGAATGAGAAAAGGACATAGAGTGAAACCTCTTTGATGGTCTAGGGATGATCTGTTCCATTGAGTGCTCCCTAGATGTGCATAAATGTGTTTGCCTGCTATGTTGCATTATTTGTTATACATTTTCTTTCCATTTCCATAAGTTATATTTTTAGATTTTTTTTTTAAACTGAAGCCAATGGGTTCCCTCAAGCTAGGGTAAAGGTAGCCGGTCAGTAAGGGTAGGGAACGATATTGGTCAGACACTTGGCCCACTGATAGACTTCAGAGATTTGAGAGTTAATAAATGTATATTTTCTATTACGTAGATTATTAATAAAGGTTCAGAAGCTTTGCTAATCAGAATATCAAATAATTATTTTCTTGCTTCTCAGCCAGGAGTTGATAGTGAAGAGCCAAAGTGAGATCTCGTAATGCTAAGCTTCTTTACTTGCCCAAAGTATAGTACAATACATTTACGGGTACAATAGAAGATACTATAGTTGTCAAAACAACCAAAGTATGTTTGATGTAATAGCCTTGGCTTCTTTCTTCTTATTCACCGATTTGTAAAATGTGGTAATGCACAATGGATCTCCCACTTGTTAGTGCTAACGCAGTTAGTATATTATAACTTGAATGACTTGGATGTCATGAAGGCAGTGTTTGGCTTTGCCTGGGATTGGAAGCGTATTGCTTGTTTGAGTAAGCTTTTTCCTCTTTGCTAAGTTGCATTGCTATTTAGTATAAATACTCAAGGAGGGAGCTGGTGGTGGGTGTGATTTGAATCCTCTGTTCAGGCAGCATTTTTAGTTTATATTCAGCCTCTTTTAAATGAAGCTAGTTGCAGCAGGGAGTTGGAGGAGGGTAATTTTGTTGCCAACATATGGTACTTAGTTTTCCATTGTCGTTTTGTGTGTCAGGCAACGCAGTTTTCAGAGTAACAGCCGTGTTAGTCTGTATTCGCAAAAAGAAAAGGAGTACTTGTGGCACCTTAGAGACTAACCAATTTATTTGAGCATGAGCTTTCGTGAGCTACAGCTCACTTCATCGGATGCATACCGTGGAAACTGCAGCAGACTTTATATATACACAGAGAATATGAAACAATACCTCCTCCCACCCCACTGTCCTGCTGGTAATAGCTTATCTAAAGTGATCATCAGGTTGGGCCATTTCCAGCACAAATCCAGGTTTTCTCACCCTCCACCCCCCCACACAAATTCACTCTCCTGCTGGTGATAGCCCATCCAAAGTGACAACTCTTTACACAATGTGCATGATAATCAAGTTGGGCTATTTCCTGCACAAATCCAGGTTTTCTCACATCCCCCCCACCCCCATACACACACAAACTCACTCTCCTGCTGGTAATAGCTCATCCAAACTGACCACTCTCCAAGTTTAAATCCAAGTTAAACCAGAACATCTGGGGGGGGGGGGGTAGGAAAAAACAAGAGGAAATAGGCTACCTTGCATAATGACTTAGCCACTCCCAGTCTCTATTTAAGCCTAAATTAATAGTATCCAATTTGCAAATGAATTCCAATTCAGCAGTTTCTCGCTGGAGTCTGGATTTGAAGTTTTTTTGTTTTAAGATAGCGACCTTCATGTCTGTGATTGCGTGACCAGAGAGATTAAGTGTTCTCCGACTGGTTTATGAATGTTATAATTCTTGACATCTGATTTGTGTCCATTTATTCTTTTACGTAGAGACTGTCCAGTTTGGCCAATGTACATGGCAGAGGGGCATTGCTGGCACATGATGGCATATATCACATTGGTGGATGTGCAGGTGAACAAGCCTCTGATCATGTGGCTGATGTTATTACGCCCTGTGATGGTGTCCCCTGAATAGATATGTGGGCACAATTGGCAACGGGCTTTGTTGCAAGGAGGAGAGTGAGTTTGTGTGTGTATGGGGGTGGGGGGGATGTGAGAAAACCTGGATTTGTGCAGGAAATAGCCCAACTTGATTATCATGCACATTGTGTAGAGAGTTGTCACTTTGGATGGGCTATCACCAGCAGGAGAGTGAATTTGTGTGGGGGGGTGGAGGGTGAGAAAACCTGGATTTGTGCTGGAAATGGCCCAATCTGATGATCACTTTAGATAAGCTATTACCAGCAGGACAGTGGGGTGGGAGGAGGTATTGTTTCATATTCTCTGTGTATATATAAAGTCTGCTGCAGTTTCCACGGTATGCATCCGATGAAGTGAGCTGTAGCTCACGAAAGCTCATGCTCAAATAAATTGGTTAGTCTCTAAGGCAACGCAGTGTGGCTTACATTCCTAACAGAGGGTGCACCTTTGACTCTGGTATATGTCTGCAACTGATACATGACTCCACTAGATTTTATTATTATTATTATTATTATTATTATTTTGGCGTAGGGAGAGAGTGAAAATAGTCGTGCTGAATTTTGCTCGGCCCCTAGCAGAGATGATTCACCAAAGATGATTGATGTTTGCATCCGTTTGCCTTAGCAGAAGCAAATGCAGCTGTGTCTTCAAAAACCTCAAAAGACTTCTGAGGTTTTGCTTGCCCAAATGCCTTTCGTTTTGTGTTCCTCTTGTTGGGGAGGAGCTGACATGTTTGTAAACATCCCTGTTCTACTCCTCACCCCCTCCTTCTCTCCAGCCTCATATCCTGTCTTTTGTGTTTCAGGAAGTGAATGAGATCTGCGTTTTTTTCCTTGAGAGAGTGAATGTTCTTCGCTGAGCAGATAAACTGGATCTCCAGAATGCGAATCTCAGTGTGGCCTTCTCCCAGGCCTCTGTCTCCCTGTGTTGGGTTGTTAGCTGCAGCAACGCCTTTGTCCCCTTTCGAAGAATATATTTTTGAGGCCTGGAGAGAACTCAGAGCTTGAGCCCACCCCCCATCCCGCACTGTTTATTCGCTCCGTGTGTTGGGAGGAGGTTTTCATTAGCTCAGCTCCCCTCCCTCCCTCCTCCCTTTCCAGTATTAACTTTCCAAATTTGGTGTGAGTTTGGCTTGCCCTTTTCTGATTGGTCTATGGAAAATCGTTGTAGTTGGTAGATCCTAGGTCGGGTTTGTTTCCTTTTTGGAAAGTGGCCCCTGCCCCTCCCCCTCCATTCTTCCCACACTTTCTGTGTGGGTTTGTGGTACTGTACCAGTAGGAATAAACACACAGGCACTGCTCAAAACAAACAATCCCCGCCCTGCCCTCCTGACCTCATTGCTGTCTCTCGCTGCCTTTGTTTACATTTTAGCTTGCTTCTCTGCAGGTTCTCTGTTACAGGCCTCTGATTTTTTTTCCAGCCTATTTATTTTCTCTCCGAGAAGTGCACCACCTAGAGAGGGAATGAGCGTTATTTAAACAAAATCAAATCTGCCAATCTCAGCAGCTCTGCAGCGTGAGACCTTCTTTTCGCTTCTAGGAGGAAATGATTCCACTCTTTGCTGAGTCAGGGGTACTTTGTCTCCAGGAGCTACCCTCTCTAATGTGGTTGAATCCTGTTTTGAAGTCGTATGGCTGCAAAAGAAAATGTATTGCCTGGCAGCAGACTCCATGAGAGTCTGAGAGACCGACCCTGGTGCTATTTCCTCCTGTTTGAGTTCAGAATCCCTTTAAAAATCACTGCTGTGCTCTGCCTTGCTGGTGCCAAGATAGAAAAGAAACCCAGATAGGTCTCTGTCAATAGGAAGCTGATAAAACAGCCTGTCCATAAGAGCATGGCACTCAGTCAGGCAGAAAAAATCCTTTTCTGTTGATTCAGGGCACTGAATAACTTCTCTGTGGATGAGACCATGTGCTTTTAGGCTAAATTCAGTTTGTGAAATACACAATAAACTCAGGAGTTATGGGACTACCTTTGATGCAGGGCTTTCAAGCTCTGGTGCTCCATTACAGACCTCATCTTGTAATACCACACACCTTATTGTAACCCTTGAATTCCTTGAGTATACTGCAAAATCCGACTGAATTAGAAGACCTGGTTATGTCATAGATAACTCTCATCCACCATGAACACATTTTCAGGGTCATGTAACCAGATCTTCAGACTGGATTGCCTTAGTAGTGTAGACAAGCCTTAGAGCTGAGGTCTGGTGTGGAGCTGTAAATTTAAACCAGTATTTGTTAAACTAGTGAAAAACCCTGTATGCACACTTATTTTGATAGAAGAGCGGCTTATTTAAGTTTAACTTAAACCTGGTCCCAATCATCTTAAGCTAAACCAAAAAAAAGCCACGCTTTATACCAGAATATGATTGTCCATACCGTGTGGCAAGTTTGTGTGTAGACAAGGATATGCTGTGTTATTGCCTGAGGACCCAAAAATGTAACTGTAAGATGACTGCCAGCAGGAAGGAAAACAGAATAGTCTGTTCTCATTGTCCAAATTGAGTGAGTTAATGGCATAAATCAGGGGTGGCCAAACAGCGGCCCATGAGCTGCATGTGGCTCTTCTACAGTTAAAGTGCAGCTCCCGGAGCCCCCCCTCTAAGTTTCCTCTAAGCTGCCCGCCCACACAGCAGCCTATTATGTGCCACGCAGGCGCTCAGTGCTGCGGTGGGGAGAGATGCCTCTCCCCCAGCATCGGACCTGCCGCCATGGGGAGAGGTGCCGCTGCCCCAGCCCAGGCCCGAACCTGCCGCAGACTGGCAAGAGGCGCCCCTACCTTGGCCCCAGTCAAGGCCTGGATCTGCCGTGGATGGGGAAGAGACACCTATCCCGCAGCTCTAGCCCCAGAGCTTCCCCGTGACGGGGAGAAGCACCTCGTCCCCCCAGCCCAGG